GGTCTTCACTATGTTTGGCACAGCTCCCTGGTTATGACCTATGAACAAATTTTTAGCTCATCAGAAAGAATGAAAAAAGGGAAAACCGTAGATAAGTTGATTGATACTAATAATACTTAATACTTTGATATGAAAACGACATCTAACGACTCCCTACTTGACTTTTCTTTCAACTCTATTACCTAAGAGAAAGAGCATGGAAAAACCATTTTATTTCGCACCACCGCACATTCATACTGGTTAATACCTATTGTTTATATCATATCACGAGTTCAAGAGGAAGAGTAATCAACAGATAAATTGCCCTCAAAGAATATCGGAAAAAATGAATAAACGTCAAATCTCTGTTTTCACAGCCAAAGAAGAACATAGCAGTTGAATTCGTAGAAGCTGGAACTGACGTAGCCCTAGTTCTTTGTTTCCGAATGTTATGGAGAGCAATTATCATTGTGAAGAAATTTGTACCTTGCTTTGAGTGAAAAAAAAACAATAATTGTGCTTGCCTTTGATACAAAGTTAATCATCTTTCTTTTGTGGAGCAGTGAGCAACAAAAAGAGAAAAGATTGTAGAAGGAAATGGTTCAGAACCGTTTTAAGTTGTCGCGTTCGCCGAGAAAACTTTGCCGAAGCGGGGCATTGCTTCGAATTCACTTTCACCCTGATTAACCTCTTCATACAAAAATGGAAGGGCAGGGGTGTAAAGCATCCTCTAATCTTGACTGAGATGTAGCAGAATTTAAGGGCAGCTCGTGAAAAAACCTTTTTAGAATTTTGTTGTGAAGATCTTAGCACAAGCTTACATCACAAATGACTATAGTCCTTGTAAATGATAAAAAATGTACTAGGCTCGCAAAAATATTGATTGTTTGTTTACGTTACTAGCAAAATCTAGGAATAAGCTTTGGTCATTAAGCAGACATAGTCTACACTGTGCCAAGAGGTCCTTCATTAGATAGAAAAAAGAAGGTTTTAAAAGTCGCAGAACTTGTGGATTGCTGTTCTCTCAGCCTTCTAATCTTCGAGAAATTCTGTTTATGAAGAGGATCCAAAATGCTATTATAGTCCATAGGGGAAAAGTGGGGTGAAGGTAATTCAGAATAGGATTGCCCTCTATAGCCCAATCTACTCAGTTTCCGCAAGGTTTCAACTTGTGGTTAAGTAGAAGTATTAGCCTCTCTTAACAGCTGGACGAACAGACCCAGATTTCCAGTCTTCTTACAAACCATGACAATGTTCAGACATGGCATCACCTAAAAATAGTGTGATGATTTCACCAGGCTTGAAAAGATAATATCATAATTGCAGCCTGATGAGAACATACGAATAATACCATTATCAGGTGGTTAGATACCAATTTTTGCGCAATGCTCCGCTTCCTGCTAAAATTACGAAAGTTGACGCTTAATTGATGCACGTTTCTTACTTTGCCATTTATCAGAGAAGATATAAAAGTGTGTGAAATATGTCATTTGAAGCATAAAGCTCTTCAGTATGGGTTCGAACGATCGCAAAAAGTTCAATCACTCCTGAAGTCTGGAGAGAAATTGGATTTTTTTGACACAAATACCCAAAAAAATCAGAACTCCGTTTCGAAAGATCCTGCAAACCTCCTGTTTGAAAAAGTTGATTGCCCCACCAGCTATTCATATTTACAGTTGCTGTATTTTCCCTACCTAAAAGTTGAAATGCAAGTGACACAACACTAGCTAAGTGAAGAACCTCTCCGACTCAATCATTTGTGAACTACAAGCCTTTAAAAGTATAACAATAAATTCTCACCCTCTTCAAACGCTTATAAGAAATTTCATTTATACTTCAGCTTCAGTTCAGTTTCAAATCCAGTTTAGCCTTTGCATTTCTCCACTTTCTCTAATGATGGTGAGTACAATTTGTAATTCCAAATCTTGCCGCTGCAGCCTGACTTTCCTGACAATGTGTTAACTTATTTTCATTCCTTTACTGCTCTATTTTATTTCTATGCCTGGTCCTTACTCCTGCATAGATACGACGGTGAGGAGTCTTTTGTGGTCGGAGGAAGGAGGGTTACAGCAAGGGTCAAATAAGTCTTTGAAAATCCTAGGAGACAAAGGAGGCTTTGTTTCGAGGAATCCTAGAAAGCGACTCGTGTCCGGCCCTGTTTCGAGTCTCTTAATCACAGTCGAAAGTTCAGGATTTTGGAAAGTTGTTTCGAAACTTTGGGCTCAAGATGTTCACTTCGAATTTGGAAAGCCTCAATAAAGAAGATGGGTCCAAAGTATTGGCAGGGAACAAATATGTAAATAAGCATCAACTAGCATTATCTCTTCGTTCTTGCATATGTCGACATTTCATAAATAAATGGATCTACATATACATGTCCAATATCCCAACAGTGGCAGGAAATTCAAGTGTCTTTAGCGCTGCTGTTTGATTCTGTGCTTGTGTGTGGGTCTTATTTAGGTGATGTCTTTAACGGTTTAATGAGGTCACCATAAGCAAATTTACATTTTCAACTTCCAAGGATCTCTGCCTTACCATCCTTGATTGAATGGTCACAATCATTTGTCCTGAAATTACAGCTTATCACTGAAATAAATGCGTTCTTCTTATGTATTTTAGGAACTCATAAGTGTCTTGATGTTCCCGTTATCGCATATTTTCTGCATCAGAGGGTCTCAATATCGTCGAGCGCAGTACATTCTGCATATTAAACGCGATCAAATATGGGAATCATTTTCTAAGAAGTTTATCGCGAATGTGTTAGATGTGCATTCTATGAGCTTCGAGACCTCTAATTTCTTCCTACATTTATTCGAGCGCGTTTTTTTTATAGTTTCATAGTGTCGAAAAATGTCGAGAGTATAAACACGTTTGAATTGATAAGAAACTACGAACATGGCACTAAGTTTCTTATTTTACTATGATATGTCATAATGTAAGTCAGAATCGGGTTCCCATTTCTCGAAGAGCAAAAAATGTTTGTAACATCAAGCATGCTACGATTTCGTCAACGTCTAATATCCAATTATGACGGTTGCTTGCGTTTATAAAGAAGTGCAAAACAACAGTGTTGAGGCCATGCTTGTATGTGATGATACTCCTTCTCGCTGTGACAGGTATGTAAGACCAAGGTGATTTCTAAAGTATAAACTCATCAAAACATTCAAGGTAACCTCATTAAGTATATCCGATACCGCCCTTCATCGTATCCAGGGAGAGGATTTCTGTTTACGGTAGTGTCTATGAGATTTGTGCCAAGGTGGACTCCTCAGTCTTCAGAATAAGAAAAAAATTCGACTGAATGACAACTTTAACAAGCACAAAACTGTTGCTAGAGTCTTGTTTATCAATTGCTATCACTGCTTTTCGAGAGAATGCCTCACATATGTTAAGCCCTCCCAGGATCTTAGTAGCCTTTGATTCAACTGGCTTGGCAGCTGGAAGGCGGGACTTTGTTACCTAATTAAGGCCGCTCTCGCCCGCGACGCAGTCTGCGTCTCTTCCGTGCGCGTGTTCTCTGACCATCACCTAGCTATTGAGTCACGAAGCCCCGCCTTCCAGCCGCCAAGCTGGTTGAATCAAAGGGTAGATCTTCGAGCCTATGGTTTCCCAAACAATTCTTTTGAAATCTCGTAAACAAGTAATTTTTTGAAAATTAGATTATTACAAAACGTAATGACAGCTGCAGAGCAATAGAAAAACATTTCAGGAAATGTTCACACAAGCTTTGTCGTCAGAACAGAAGCTACCAAGATCTTACGATATCCGCTTTTGAATTGAGTGAATCACATTTCGTGAGGCTGCTACGATAAAGACTCAACACGTCACACCATACATTACCGGTAGTATAATCATATCCAATGGTTGCAAAAAAACGAAATAAGGATGTAACAAAAAAACTTGTACACTAATGAGTTTTTAAAAAGCTTGCTCGAATTTTCAAATATCATAAACAATCAAAAATGGCTCAGCGTTACATTTTTGATTACTGCTTGATTAGTGCAAGATCTTTTCAAAGGTTTTCGCACCAGTGAGAGCATTGGACCCCCAACCTACTCTATATTCAATTGTAAGAAATCTGTTTCCAAAGCGTATTTCCACCAGAATTTCGGTGAATTCGGCTGCAAACCAAAAGTTCGAATCATTGCAGTGCTGAGCGTATCGATAATGGCAGAATATGCTTGAATATTCAAAAGGTACAGAAGGATCAGTTGCCCATAAATTTGTGATTACTGAACATTTTTGGAGCGCAAAGCTCAGTTCTCAAGAACTCAGCGATACCGCTGTGAGCTATTTGCGCATCACTGAAATTTTGAAGTCTTTAGTTTACTTCAAGAGTATCTCTCTTAATATGAAGCGGGTTTTAGAAGAACCTAGAGATTCTAACAGAATATAACTTTTTGTAAAAGCAGTTGACAGTAGTAATAACTCAATATGAATTCATCTCTTCTCAAGAGAGTGTTCATCATGGTCGTTTCTCTATTCCTCTCATAACTCGAATTGTAAGTGCCAGCGAAATGTGCAGGCGAGCTAGTGCTAAAGTCGTGGAAGCTTGGAGCTTAGTTCTGATTGAAAAATGCATAGATTTGAAATGAATAGCAGACTTCTGGAAAACCGAGTTGAGGCCCAGCTTTCCTATCAAAAGGAAAATTGAAGAAGCACAATCTTGAAGATTGTTCAAATTGGTAATATCCCTACATAGAAAGCAGCAGATGCTATAGTAATAAATGTGGAACCAACATACTTGGAAACCTGAGCAGGTACCAGTGTTAAACTTCATAAAAGGCATCTGTCTTGAAGACAACTAGTGCCAGATTCAATTTTAGAATTGCAAATATACATAGAAGCATGAAATTAGTTAGTTTGAACTAATTATGTAACTTAGCGAAAAACTTAACTTGGCGTAGAAACATCTGCATTGAACAAGATGTGAAAACAACTTATGTTTCCAAAAAAAGAATAAGCATAGTCATACCACTGACAAGCCTCACCACAATGTCAGCGTTTTCAAAATCTTTATTCACTACTGCAGGCTATTTATATATCAAAAAAAGTAATACTGTTAATGAAAAGTCATTTATGATAAAAAATCCAACCGTTAGTTACAAATTACTTTTCGCTTCGGCGGTAACCTTGTGTGACTCCTCCTTGTTGATATTGTTGGGTCTGCATTTGCGCCTGGTGGTACTGAGTTGTGCTACCGTAGGACACACCCGATCCATACTGGCTTGTCTGCTGACCGATCTGCGTTCCCGAGCCGAATATGGCATCATGTTGTTGTTGAATCTGCTGCTGTATAGCATCTCGCTGACGTTGAATAGCTTCTCGTTGCTGCTGAATTTGAGCACAAGTCTCTGCGCTGCAAAGACATGGTGGCTAGAAAAAATACTATATAAATAATTTGAACAATGATGATTTGGTAGTTCCTACTTCGGGCATTGGTGGCATGTTCGGCATTCTTGGAAAACTTTGACCCAAATTGAATGGAAGATTTTTGAACATGTTGCTGACCCAATCACCAACCTGAAAATTTAGCGGTATTAAACTAAACTGTTTCATTGTCTTGATGAAGAGATTGTTGGAAGCAATAGCTGTTTCCCAAATATCTCAGGATTTTGCTGTGTGATAGCGTTGCTGAGAGTAGTGCACACAATTTGATTTTAGCAGGGTCCTTGAGTCCTTGAGTCCATTGGTGAATTATTTTGGGAATCATGTTTTTGACGCATTTGAGATTTTAGGTTGGAGAGAAAAGAATGTCGTTTTTATAGCAAAGCAATAAGACGAATTGAAAAAAAAAGTGATCGGTACCATTTGATAAAGCAACGGAGGCTTTGCAAGAAAACCTTTGAACGTTGGCAGAAGTCGTGACCTGCGCAAGGTTTAGAGCCAAAATATAAGAGCTACTCATGGTGCCAAAAAAAGGGTTCCAGCCCCAAAAATTCCTACGAATCCCCTTGCTGGATGAGTGCATGTAACAGATACATGCACTTATCCATAGGTTCACGTTCAATACTTTTTTCATGCTTAGAAAACAAAAAAAATTGAAAAACGTAAATGGCAGAAACCGCCCCCGATAGTGCTAGGCACTTCCCTACACGCTTTGTGTACTACAAACCTTCGAAACTTTGTCCAGAGAATTTTGGCCTTGGATATGCCTTGCTTTTTAAGAATAGATTTCAGCTGAAACCCGCGAAAGCGATATTCTTACCTTTCCAACTAATATAAACTTTGTTTTGAAAAAGAATTTATTAGAACGCCTAGCTACTTTGTTTTCGCGGGATTCATGAATCTGTCATGTAACTTATATCCTTTGATGTTCTGCTTCAACATTTGCTGGCGACTCCATGACTTTTCCAGACTTTGACTAAAAGCATTCCCAATTAGCTAAATAATTACGTGGTTGGCTTGCTAGCGGATACTAAGTATAGAAACATTTCTCGAAACCCTAAAGTTGCAGCAAGCTACCTTTGAGCTGAAGGTGATGTTCGATTCAGAAGTTTTGGAAGAAAAAGAAGTAAAAAACCGGAGATAACTTTCGATACCGGTGATTTATTTTATCGGTTCAAGGATATCAATGAATCACAACCTGTGTAAAACTCACATATCCGTTGACTTCCCTCATATAATCATTCAGCGATTGTTTGTACTGTGAGATGCGATCGACCTCTTGGGCTGTAGCTTGCCGCCTCTGTCCATTTTCAATGATAAAGCCGTCCTAAATTTTCTTTATTTTCGGTGTTTGAAACAATAAGCAGACTCACTTCGTACTGGCAGTTGCCGTTGTTGGATGAATATTGTTGAAAGGAGAGCGAGCTACCTGAGATACCACTGCCACCTGACCCACCTGAGTAGAACACGTCCTGCAAGGCTTTTTATCGAAAAAAATTCTTATTCCATCATTTCATTCATTATTCGCTATATCGCTGGCTTTTCCCTTCCTTCATATGTTACCAATTTGTTGAATGTGACAGTCAAATGATACAATGTTCTCAACATTTTATTGCTTCCTTTTTGTGCATTCTCAAGGTTTCAATGGCGAAGTCCTTTTTCCAAATCCAGGACTAATTCACTAAGCAGAACGGGAAGGTTGTGAGTTCAAGAAACGGTGGAACGCTTGAACATGTCTCTAATGGATCTAATAGTCGCAACTATTGCGAATATTGCCACGTGCTCTTTTTATTTTTTTGCTAGTGAACCAGTAATCCAAAGGTGCTATTTGGAAAGCGTTCGCTTCGGGACCCGCCGCGATTTCCCGCTATTGGAATATTTTTGAATTGAGCTAACGATTCTTCATATATTAGATGCCTCAGGAGACAAAAGCAGATGATTTGTGACTTTTTTGAACGGTATTGGCTGGTACAATCTCGCTACAAGCAAAACACTTCTTTTGACCGAAAAAGCTATCGTGCATATGGTTTGGCTTTTATGCAAGAAATACTTGCGTGCTTCGTAACCAATGTAATTAATGAGGTAGTGGTGATTTTCTCATAGAGATAATAGTTCACTCTATATACTGTAAGACATAAAGATGCTATTCTTCCGCAAACTGGATATTGTGTGCAGATATGGTGACTAGCGATTAGAATACCAGATTGCACGGACAATGTCGCTGTGCTACTCAGGCTTTGACTTTGACTGTGCATGCGCGATTGTTCCCTCCACATAGCTTTTGAGAATGTTGATTTTTCAAACCCTTGAACTAAAAACATGCCTCTTTTGAAATCAGAAGAAAGCTAACACTTTGCGAAAGTGTTGTAATCGCGGCCTTCCTACCCTCATAAATGAAGCACCAAACTTTATGATATTTGCTATAGCTTCAAACCAACTAAAAAGCCGTCGCAGCCCCAATATCTACTCATATTTGTTGCGAAGCAATAGTCCATATACTGCAGTGCCAAGTTTTGTTCTAGCCTAAAAATGCAAAAGAGAAGATCTTCTGAAGAACAGTAGTTGGCAGGTAAACACCTATTACTGCAGTTTTATTCACGAAAACACGCTTTCTTACTGAAAACTTCAAAGCTCTTTCTCACTAACTCGGATTCTGTGCAAGGGCTGGCATTTGCCAAAATTGCAGTAATAAGAGAATTTGTAGAATAACTTCTCCAAGAATTCTTTAGTTTTTGCATTGTATACTTTCAAAGGGTGCTTCAATAACGTAAGGCCGAAATTAATTATTGATTAGCATGCCAGTATGAGAGAGAGTTGAGCTGCAAAATTTGAAATTTAGATGCAGTCCGTTCAACCTCCAACCTCCAAACCTCCTACTCAACGAAAGTTTACTGTTAAAACTCCTCCTCAACAACGAGAATTAAACTAGGTTTCTAACCAAAAAGTCTTTGAATTTTCATGGTAGTACATGCGACTGCCATTTTATCATAAAATTTCTAATGATTACTTTGCCCCATTCGGCTCATGAGGATTGCGGCTGGCCGTTGATTTTCCTTCCTTTTTTTTTCAAGCCGAGACCATACTGTTACAACGGAGTATGTCAGGTAACTTCCAGACAAGGCTATCGCATTTTGAACTTTCTCTCTAATGAACTGAAAGACATGAACTGATTCCTTATACACTAATACTTTTCTCAGATATCGTTATCTGCCTTAGAGAACCTGCATCCTCCTCCTGACGTATCCCAGTTGCATTTTTGGATATAACCCGATTGTTTATTTGATTCGCTTTTGGTGCAGAAATAGTCAATTTTGCGGCTGCTTTGCTATCGTTGCAGTTGTTCAGTGTCATAGTTGCAAAAACGTAGAACAACCAGTCAAGAATAAAAATACCGAAAAAATGTTTTTTAAGGCACCGTACAGGCTAAATCTATGCTCCTTTGATTAGGAGGACAGCTTCGTTGGTACGGTCCTCTAATGTGCCCTTTGAATAGAAAAAAATGGGTTTGGAACCCGCAAAGTACTACCAAGCTACGCCCGCCCTATCAAGCTCCACCCTCTCAAGCTGAAAATAGTCCCTCTAGGGTAGGGGTTTCCGAACACATCGTTTGAGGGTTTTGGACATTTTATGGTTCATATTTGTAAACACGGCCATGGGCATGCCCCAAACTGGCAAAAACATGGAAGACAAAGAATCAAATGAATGCCGCCGTCAACGATAGACGTGTCATAGGATATCATATGATGTCTCATGCGAGAAGTTTTTCAAAAAATTATGTCAGAGTGCTTTAGCTTTGATTAGTGTGCGTTCAAATGGTAACTGTTTGAGAAGATATAAAGTCTTCAGCCTGCTTCAAGAAGTAGTTGCCCTCCTACCAACATCACACACTAGTTAAAGCAACTGAGGACCTCTCACTTGGTTCAAAATGGTCATCTTCGCAGTATTTGTTGAGAACAATGATTGTAAAACCAAAATCAAGGCCAAATTCTTTTTGAATATCAGCTAACCTGGCCTTGTCCAGAGATTCCTCCCGTTGCACTTTGTGGATACCGTGTCGAAGCACCGTACTGTTGAGTACTTCCATACTGAGCAAATAAGAAAATGAGAAACCTTTCAAGATAATAGATTACTCAACAAATCACAAATTGTTGGCTTTTGTCGAAAAATAACTGCCGCTTTACACTTCAGCCATCTCAGTAAAGACTGTCACTAATTATGATTTCAGCGCAGAATAAATCGCAACAGAGGATTTTGAGCTCTGGCTCCGTGGACTTTGCTACGAACTCATTACAAATACTGTTCAACCAGTTGTTAGCTACCGCTATGTCAACGATCAGAAAAAAAAACGGAACTGAAGTTTTTAATCTGATGAGTGCGTGCTGAGTGGCAGGACATATGGCGTAGGCAAGAAAAAATACAAATTAGTTCCTCCTTCACATTCATTAGATTGTAAAACCAAAATCATGGCCACATTCTTTTTGAATATCTAACCTGGCCTTGTCCAGAGAATCCTCCCGTTGCACTTTGTGGGTACCGTGTCGAAGCACCGTATTGTTGGGTGCTTCCAAACTGACTTCCAGCTCCGTACTGACCACCAGAAGTATAGCCGGAACTTGTCCCAGGTGGGCTACCCTGGTCATACTGCCGCTGCTGAGTAGTATACGCTGGTTGTGGCCACTGTGTCGCCGTCGTGTAGCCACTTGAGTACTGTGAAGTTTGGCTGGCGGCAAATGCATATTGAGAAGTTTGCGAGGTCTGTGAGACCTGAGCAGGCTGAACATATGAGCCGTCACTGTACTGACCATCTGCAACTAAAAATCGAAAGTAGATATAATCAGCTGCGAAGGGCTAAAAAATGATGATCTCATATATCTCATGTATTTAATATAATATTAGGTCGTACCGAAAGTTCTTGCGCACGATTTTCAAAAATTCATAACTCTTTAAATTCTGGCAGACCGCATAGATCGTGGATTCTCTTTAAATTCTCAATGAATTCGTGCGACCAAACCTTTACTTAAGAGAGGAACTCATGCTCTTTGCATCTGTACCTAAACTGTTCGTTAATAGTCACAAATGACGGAGATAGAAGCTCAAAACCAAAATCACTCAAAATTGAAATTTTCTGTGTAAGGTCATAAAAAATCGGAGACTTGCAACAAAAATCGGAGCAGTCAGTATTATAGGTTTTTTCACCAGCTCTTTCCAACAGTGCAGAGTTTGCGCCGATTGAGCGTCTCCATGAAAAGTTATGATTTTCGAGCAATCAATACAAAGGGGCGATTTTGATTTATTTTGGCATTTTCAGGGATCATAACTTTGCAAAGAACCTATAATACTGACTGCTCCGATTTTTGTTGCATGTTTCCGATTTTTTATGACCCTACACGAAAACAAATTTTAAGTGATTTTGGTTTTGAGTTCTATCTCCTCCATTTGTGAACATTAACGAACAATTTAGGTACAGATGTAAAGAGTGAATTCCTCTCTTAGGTAAAATTTTCTTAAAATTTTACTTAAGAAAGGGACTTAAAATTAAAAAATTTAAAATTTTTAAATTTTCTCTTAATTTGGTCGTACAAATTCATTAAAAATTTAAAGAGTTATGAATTTTTGAAAATCGTGCGCAAAAGCTTTCGGTACGACCTAATATGATCTCATATATTTTCAAAAAATATTATAGCTGATTGAATAGATATGTGTCAAAAAATCCATTTTGGATATCAATGCCACTAATGCTTATAAACATAACACATGTTGCATTCTTGTAGTGAAAAATTTACCAAAGCGTTCGCATATGCAAAATGTTCAACCTCAAACTCAAAAGATTGGAAAGCTGAAAGGAAGGGGAATAGGAGTTTCATTTCCAGACGCTTCCTAACCAGCAGAAAAGTCACATGTAATGCCTTTCCCTTCAAGTTTAGAGCTAGTTTGCATAATTCAATTTAGCATCAAACTGAACCATAAGTCTCGCAATAAAATTTTTGAGAATTCGCACGAGAAAGTATTGGCCATTTTCAGAGTACCCGAATCAGGGCTCGGCACGAGCTAGCATCAGGAAATTTTCAAAACGAAGTCCCCGTTGATTTTCGTTGAGTTTTACGAAGTCCCCTTTGGCCCTAAACCCTAAAAGTAAAAAGAGCCCTAAAAATGAAACGTCGACAAAAAAACGCGTCGCAATTTGTCCACAAAAAATGATATCCCCTTTGCTTTTGACCCCGAAAACGATATCCAGCCTACCCCGTGCCAGCTGGTGCCAGGCTCTGACATCAATCAAAATGTCATTCATCCAATTTTATGATTTTGATTTTACCTTCCGCTCGCTTCACATGGTGAACTGTTTGTGTTGATCGGATGTTTCTACGATTTCTACGAAATACGATTTCTACGAGATTGAAAAAATGCGAACAACGAATGATCACGATTTCTGAATATTGTTCAACATTTTGGGATCAAAACAAAATTTTCGAAATTTCATCGCAATGTTATAACACTAGGTTGCCTCATAATCGATGCACATTTTTTGAATTTTAACTCCTGATCAAGATAATGTAACTTTAACCATCTTTTTGAGCGCAATCAGAACCACTGCAAACAGCAAACATTTGGCTATACATCGCATGCTTTTGTTGGATCGTAGCCACTCCGAGAAAGATTCACAAAAGGTTCAAAAACATCTCCCTTGAAATCTATACTTTAAGAAAGCTTAACTTACTCTCAAATGTATTGAGATGGTATAGCTGTACTTGTTCCATAGCCGATGATCAGTTGTGCAGCAAAATGAAGTTTGGAGTTTACTGCATTTTTCTGCGAGAAAATGTCGCAAAAAATTGAAAGAATTGAAAAATTGCACCCACTATCTTCAGCATTTTGGAACATTCAAAAGACCGTTTTTCTTGGAATTATCATTTTTCCTCCCACCGAAAGACGAGCAAATCCTGCCGAATTTTTATCATTACATAAGAATTAATAATTTGTGAATTTGAATTTTTGAATTTGAATTTTGAATTTTTTTGTAAGAGTTTTGTTTGTGTTTAGCATTTAATTTATCAAATGCACAAAACATTCTTGTTGTAGTTGTATTAGGTCCACTCTAGTCGTACAGAGCGAAAGTTATGCAAATGCTTTGTGTTTGAGATTTTTATGCAATATAGATAGGCTTCCCCCCTTTGAGTCAAAATTTCTCGGCTCAGGTTATAAAAGATTTAATAACGAAAAGCATGCACAAAACTTCGCAATTATTATGCATATTTGAAAATCAGGACATTCTCATGGATTTAGAACAAGGAGAGTAGAAAGAAAAACATCAAGGGTCTAGATACTTATCTTTGTAGGCATGGTACTACTGTTTGAACGTTTGCAAAAACGAAAGCACATATTAACGAGTTCTGGAGAAAAATAGCCTTTCTCTGAGAATCAGTTTTTCAAAAAGATGTGAGAAAAACGCGCCTTAATGAGACAACCTGGTAGACGTACCGCTAATTTGAAAGCTCTTCAAAAACTTTCAAAATGAAGACTTATGCATCAACTCAGTTGATAACCAGTGTAGAGCAAATGGGGTCTGTACAAATTTTTCCTGTGTGTCTAGCACTTGTTCGTTTTTCGGATAATAGAATCTTGGTAGAAAATACCTAAACTCATTTAAATATAATAATTAGTTGTTAGCATCGAAAAAATACACATGACTTCATAATTGAAGCCTAAACAAGTACGAGTAGTCGAGCTGTCTTGATATAAGCCATGGAGTTTAGCTATAAGCCGATTAGTATTGGGTTAACCCAAAAATTCTGTCTCATCAAAACCAAAAATATAACTTCTTGCTTTATCACCTGATTTGTATGCGATTGATTTTTTTCCAAAAGAAATTATGTACTCAATTTGAGTACTTGTTTTTAGAGACTTCGAAGCCGACATAAGAGATAAAAAGTGTTATTTATCTCTGTAGGGTTATCAAAACTTGAAAACTGCAACAAAATACTCAGCAGCCTATGTTATGAGTTCTATAACTTGCTCTGCCTAAGTGTGCAAAGTTTGCACTCACAAAAAGCTCGCAGTCACAGTAGTTCTCCTTGATAAAAACGTTAATATTATCGAATTTGCTGTCTTATATGATGGCTCGAAAAATTTTAATAAAAATGTAGTCATCGCAAGCTTGGCTTTGTCGAGATGAGCAAACAATTTATTACACCAGAAAGGCAAGAATTTCCATTTGCTGCCACAAAACCACGAAATTTTGAAACTTCCCCATTAACATAAAATTTCTAACTTACACTGCTGTCCATTCAGGATAGCCACGCAGAAGGCGAAAAGTAGTGCTTGCATCGTTGAAGATCTGTCCGCTCAAAGATTAGTTCGCGTTTTCTTACTTTATGTATTGTGCCGTCTCGACAGTCGAACAGGTGACACGCAATTATTTGTTCATGCGATTTAGTCACACGATTGCAAAACGGATATCTCGAATGTTGCCAATCGTTCGAGCTTCTCATCATTGGCACGCAGTGAGTAATCGAAGAGCAAATTCATTCAAAGAATGACGAAATACTTAACAAGAAGAAACGGTGGCAGGAAGACCATTGAAAAGGCAAAATTCAGTGGAGAAAAAAATTGTGCTAGAGGTGCCGCAACTAGTTCCGTGTTGACAGTGCGCTCTTGAGCTATGTGTAATCCAAAAAGATTGCGCATGAAATGCTCTTCAAAAAGACTTGGGGGCCTGGCATAGATTAAGGGGCTTACGATATGTTTAATTTTTCCTAGAAAGTAATGTGAAATGCAACATACTGTCTCTAGAAAAAAGTTTCATACGTTGACGGCATTTATGCAAGTGAACTCTTGGGTTAGAACGCAAAGAGCAATTGTAGAGAAATAAATTTCAGAAACTACAAGATAAACCACAATAAGATAACGTGAAACAAATCATTCCTCGACTATCAGACCCTCTAGTGTCCACAAACGTACCGTAACCTTTCCATTGTATAACAGGCTTTTATACTTGTTCAATCTTTTATAACAGAGTACCTCAAAGCAAAGCGCAGTTTATGACTTTTAGGAGATTTCCTTTATCGAAGCAATTTGGATAAAGTGCAAAATTGAAGCCCATATTCGAGTAGATCTGGATGTGGACAGAAAATTTTGCAGTTTTTTTGAAAACCGAAAATGAGGCTACATTATGCCTACTCCCTTCGGCCGAAAACCGTTCAACTCGAGATCAACTCGGACTTTAAAGTGCAGCGAAGCGAGATGTGGAGCATGAGACTTGCTATACCTTTTATTCAGCATTTCTTCAATTCTGCTTTGAAACCTTAAAACCCACTGTATTGTTTCTGAGCAATGGTTTTTTTTTGCGTAGACGTAGTCAACCTCGAAGTGATGTATGTATGAAAAAGAACGTGAATTCAAAGAGCAGGGCAGCTGAATGACTAATGAAGCTAAATGGGTACTTTTCCGTTATCCGGACCCATTTTTTCAAAGAAGGCATATTGCTTCTTCCCTCAAACCATATTTGGTCCCGACTTCACAGGAAGGAGTGTCAACATTCTGCCACGTGTCAAAAAAATTTGACATGTCATTTACATGTTTATCAGGTTTGACCAAAAGTTTGAGTTGCCCTACCTAGCGACGTGAGTTCAATCTGTTTATTAGTCAATAGTGGCCCCATTTTCGATTGAACAGTATCAAAAAATGAGCACTGTTATCACAATAGTGTATCTATTATTAATCGAACAAATTAGACTTGCCAGAATAGAGAAGTGGACTAGGATTCCATCATCTAAGTGACAAAACAAACAATGGCAAAGAACTTCAAGCCATCATTTATAGTCTCGTCTAGCTAGATTCGCAAGACGAAAAGTTTGAAGAAAAGGACAATGCTGAATGTTGCTGAAAGTGATCAAGATGTTCTAACATAAATTTCGGATTGTTTTGCTCTCATACCAAACAATTGAACGGCTTTTAGGTGATCACAAATGCTTTTTTACCTCATCGGAAGTGATTTCGAAAAAAACTTGTCAAAATGGACGAAAACGTGTCAATATTTCTCTGACACGTGACAGAGAGACTGTCCTTGTGGAATCCATAAAAAATTGTTCTTAGACTGAAGAACGTATTTTATGGGAGCTTTTTGGAAGAATGGGTCCGGATAACGGAAAAGTACCGCTAAATGATACAACATACCGTCAGAAGTGATAGCAATTTGGTCTGAACCATCATTTTCATTACGCGATGTGAATAGTAACTTCACATCATTTTCTCAATGAAATCACGAGGAACCGATCAGAAGTGATGGGGTTGGGCAATTTTCACTTGATTCTAGACTTAGCAAATCGATGTCATTGAAAGAGACTTCCAATCATTTTCATGCTTAGCCGCCTTCATTGCACTTTACTAAATTTGCAGTTCGGTCTCCATCCTTGCTTTCCCGTGACCTTATCTAAGCTGTCAGCAGATACGCTTCCTCATGGTAAGTACGAAATGATCCCCTCACTTTTCTTAACACGTTTCGGGACCGCGAAATCGCGCGCGGCGAAAAAGAGGGTACTTTCAGCCGTTAGCCAACAAAGTGGCCTTAATTCGTTGACTGTGTGCTACATCTGTAATCAGCATGTAAGATAAGATACATACCCAAAGTTGTGAGCGAACTCGAAGTGTTTGAATTTTGTCGCCTGAGAAGGACTTCGGTGCTTTCTTGAAAGATAGGAACAAGACCTCAGTTTCTAATTGTATCCAAAAGTATCTATGCTGCACACCGTACACATCATTAGCGAAACTGCGGTTTTTCTCTTTGAATTCGAAGCAAGGAAAAGTTGCGACGTCGCACGCGTCGTTCGCGTTGCCGCACTTCGGTGCAACTGTTGTTCGATTTGTGCTCATATCTTCTAAACAAATATCGGCGGCACAGCCTTACAGAGCCATTTGAGAAGAAGGAGCTTAGGCCTTTCACTTGATAACCTTGGACAAAAAGAAAACCTTCTGTAAACGTTAGAAAGATCTCTCAAAGACGCGTGCTGCACCATGTGCAGCACCGGTCCGAAACGTGTTAGCTTGTGAAACCATCACATCCCCGTTTCAAATGAAAAAAATGGTACTTTTTCATCTTGCAATAATATAATGGTTTCACGTTCGCGTCTCATCAAACAATTGTTATTTCCACTAATTTATCTGATAGCAAAACAGTGATGTTAACCAGCTGGAAACTTCGTAGTTTGGTTGAGAATGAAACAACCATGGAACAGTCATGATGTCTGCTGTTACTTGCATGTTTCATGATTTTGTATGACCGATTGAACTGAGAGGTCGTCAGAAGATGACTATGGTTACCATCATGTAACCATGATGTATCATCACATTATTCGTTGATTTCGACCAATTACTACCACTCCAGATATTCTCGCCAAGACCAAGCAAAGCATTCTATTAGTTGATGAACTTACATTCGAACTGTTTTTTTTAATGAAGAAGACCTGATATCAGGGGTGGTATAGGCCGTCCGCGCAGGGCGCGGAGTTGTGTACTGCGCATAACCCCTCAATCCTCATGCTCTCGCTTCCTTTTTTCTCTGCGCCTCTTCCAGGCCATGGACTGAATTCGACGGACGCACAGCGTTGCTCTTCGGGCACAGCGCGGAAGGCCTATAGCATAAAAATCATCCCACTTGTCGGCAAGTCTTTCCCTCAACTCGCAGCAATCTCGTCCTCACGTCACGAAATTCCAATCACCTTTTTAATTCTTTGCAACAATCACACTGACACACTTCACGTCTGACAGATCAATTTAGTTCAAGTTGGATGGAAAAATACAGAAAGGCCGACGATTGAATTTGGGGACCGAAAGAATTATCTGCCAGCAATGTCGCGAGCTATTTGGCCGCCACTTGCGCGATTTCGCCCTCAACCCATCGGCATCTTGCGCTCTGGTCAGAAAGCACGAAAAGTAGCGTACTTTTCGAGGAGTGCAACTTGCTGGCATCTCGTCGTCTACCGCGTCATAGGTTATGAGGTTCGCGCCACCCATCTTATTTTCTGCCGCGTTTTCGATCGACTTCTTTATTTTGACATTTTTGTTTTCTATAGGCACACATTTGACTCAAAACATCGTTTGCATAATTAGGGTCTAGGTGTGGCGTTTCGAGGGCAAATGATTCAAGTCCTGCACGCACTCCTCCTTGCGATATAGTAAACATCACAACCAGAATAAGTTGTAAGGTCAGGCACACTTTCTCTCAAGACTCTCATCTCCGGTCTCTTAACGCCTTTCCTTCTCATCCTCACCTCCACAATCTCTTAGGCCCGTGTGCACGAACATCCCTGCGGCGATAGTGGCGTCCTTAATATTGAAAAAGCTGCAGCGACGTTCGTGCGATTTTTGAATCGGGAAACGCCGCTGCTCTCAATGTTCATGCATACGGGCATTAGAATAAAAGGTTTTCTTGAGGGTTGGTTCCGAAGCTTCTACCCAAACTACATGTCTTTCGTCACACATTCTTTTTACGAAGAAAGATTTGGTTGAAATGACCATGTGGGAAAACATACAGGGTGCGAAAAAGTACTGTCCCTCAGACTGAAGTTTGAAAATTTGGCGTGATTCATTAATTTTTCTGGTAATTTTGACATAATTGCCAAGATGTAAATATGTTCTAGCATTTTACAGAGACCGGCTTCAAAATTCTACAACGATCCCTTTTCGCAGCGCATCTCATATCAAATCTTGCAACTCCCCTTTACAAATGTGAAGAAGTGTGAGGATTTTTGAGAAATTTTTTGTTTGTCACGCGAACTTGAGAAAGCATCTACTGCTTAAAGGCAGCGTCCAGGCAAGTCTGGACACAATGGGTTCTCATGTGGATAGTAATTTTGAGGCCCTAACAAGCCACTGCCCAACCGGCAGTTCAGGTAGTGCTCTAACCGCTGAGATACTCGAAACTGGACCCCGTGATCGTATTTCGCATGGATTCATGGCGCAAAGCGTGGATCCTGGCGCGGAACTGCCATGAATCCATGCGAATACGATAGCGGGGCCCAGTTTCGAGAAGAATATCTCAGCCGTTAGAGCACTACCTGCGCTGCTGCTTGAGCAGTGTCTTAAATAGGGTCCCAAAAGTATTTTCCACATAAAATTTCCATAGGTGCCTAGACGCTGCCTTTAAAGAATATGGCAGTGGATCCCGAATTATTTTGAAAGTAGCCAGTCAGCAGTTGCACTAAGGGAAAAGCTGTGAACTTTTCTAAAAAGAAGATGGCTGCGGAGCAACAGAATGCGATCAGAAAACGTGGCGCAGAGACTAGGTGTAATCGTTTATGTCTTCAAAATCGTGATATAGACAAAGTTCGATGCACTTTTCATTATTCATGTTACTTATGTTGGAATCTGAATTCCGAATTAGCTTGGGTCCAATTCATTAATCAAGCACAGTCCCGACTCGCCGCTTTTCGAGTATTTGTGCGATTTGCGTGCGGTATAATCTT